TCAGGGCGATGAGTATGAAGATTTCTGTCTTCTGGGTTGTTGCGCTGTGTAGTCTGGTCGATGTTAACCAACGTTTCAGAGGTCATACTGCCACCCTGATAACGGAGGCAGTATGACCTCCGAAACGTTGGTAAACGTCGACCAGACTACACAGCGCAACAACCCAGAAGACGGAAATCTTCAATAAATAATTAGTCGCTGATTTTATGTAACAGTAAGGTTCATCACTGCGTTCGAAAAAGCCTTCCACTCGACCCTATCGTCAGTCAGTGCAAATGACTTCACATCTCCACATAGTACCAACCAATCAACCCAACGTTTCAACATTATCCTCCGTGCTTTTCTGTCAATATGGTAATTTCTCGAATTCAAGGCCAAATAGTACTTTCCGCTATTTGCGCTGTCTTCCTCCGTCCACTATAATTCAAGCCCCTAATAACATCTTCGTTCTTGCATCTCTTTCCATAAGCTTGTGATCACAAATGTTTAGACAGAATTGTACTGAAGACATAACGAAAGGAAGCAATTCTTAAAATCAATTTTTTTATTTGGATAGATGTTCCCGTGTATGCGGAAGGCAGCCTCAATTTGTTGTGTGGGATAGATTCACGACGCAGAACAAACAATTCCTTTGGGCAAAGTAGTCAAAGGTTATGAGGGACAGATGGGATTTGTGTGTCCTTTTCACCCCAACTTTATCCCAGTCCAATCCTCTTGAAAGCCTCTGTCAATATATAGCACAGAGCAGCCATGACGAGCATAAACATGGCGGATACAGTGACATTAATGTGCAGTTATCACGGCCCTCTAGAAGCCAAGAACCATCCTGTAAGTGTCAACGATCGAGGGAGCTGTGAATAGAGGTGCTATTATGGTTATGAACAAGATTACGTGATAAAATCAGAGGATAATCTCTCAGAAAGTTTTTCGTTCCTTTAACCCCCCACCCCCCACCCTCTTGAACGACTATAAAATACACAATTGGGGCGGTGGGGGGGGGGTTAAAGTGTAAATATTGGAACATTTCTAAGGCAACGAAAGTGCGGGCATTAGGCTTGAAAGCTATTTATTGCCGTCAAAATACGTTCATCGAAATCTTGTCAAAGGCCAGGTATTGGAACAAGCTTCATGCGATTCTGTGCTCCCCATTTAGTCAAATCTTTAATTTGTTGCACACAAAGTATTGTTTGATAATAATACCACACCCCACACTGATTTTTTTTATTTTTTTTAGTGTTCTGTCTGACGACAGGTCCATATGAACAGGATCCTTCCATCCTTTTCTCGGACTGGGACCTGGTCATATACGTTCTTGGCAGATGATCCAGAAGTGGTTTGCCATTGCCTTCTTCTGTGTGTGAATGGGGTAATTGTTGGGATGCCACGGATTAAAACTGCGTGTTGCCTAGACCACGGCCTTGCCCAACACAAGTTATAAATTAGGGCACCGCCGGGAATCGAACCCGAGACCCCAGGATTACAAGGCCAGCGTTCTAACCGCTAGACCACCGTGGCTATCCACACTGATTAGTCGTGCATAATTATGCTTCTTTAAATATTTACCCCACGTATAGCCTGGACAAAACATAAATTAATACAAGAAATAATCTCCATAATATACCGGTATGCTACAATGTGCATGATAACACGTGAGACTGTAAAAATATTCATGACGGAATGTCAGCATGCAGCAATCTTCGTAACACACAACAATCTCCATGATAGCATATCAACACAGAGAATTCTGTTGTCTAAAGCAATCTGTCCCTACGACTGCGTAAGGCCCTCACAAAGTGTTTCACATGGGGCATCATAGCGCGGAGAACAATATTCTGAAGCGAAACCTTTCTTTCAAGAGTTTACAACCCTTCTTTGAATCCAAACTGTAATCCTTTCTCCCCCCACGGGGCTCATCACTTTTAATCCAAACCCCCCTACAGTGAGGGAGGTGTAACTTGTGTCTCTAAATTCTACAAATTGGACGCTGCGAGGCGCAGTTGTGCTAGGACACACATAACCTCGCGATTACGAGACGTTACGTAAGCGAAATAATTTATTTGTGTCGTAAAAGTCTATCACGGTAGTAAACTCGTGTTGCGGGTTTGTAGGAAACCTAGGGGTGCTTGTTTGCTGTTTTGGGAGGGGGAGAGACCCTGAGTCCTTCTTACTGGCGCAGTTCGCAAAACCCAGGAAGACATGAACGTAAGCAAGAGGTCATAGCGAGCTACGGAACCATTAAACGCGGGGGTCAGGGATTAATTTTGGTGACGTTATCACACATCAATTGGAAAGGAACTATTTTATCGAAAATATTTACAGATCATTTACTGCGTTTTGTGAACACGGTGATGAACCGACAGTTTTCATGAAAGCATGATATCTCTTGACCACAAAAATAATCAATGAAAACCTCGTACCATGGTCGCAGTTATCCTAAAGATTTAAGCGCATTTAATTTAATCCACATTAGACCGAGGTATTTTCTTTACTGACAGATATACTCAATTCTCATATGAAATCTTGATGAATCTGTAGTCTTCCTCACAGATTGGTCATATTTCTGCCGTGTGCCACTGTACCCCTCAATCCCCTATTACGTCACGAAGTTCCATACATTCGAAGCAGCTACGAGAAGTGAACGTCTCCCATCGAGATTTCCCCAGTCATCCTGGAATCTCGTAAAAACTGCAGGATCATTTCCCGTGCTGTGGCGTCGTATATCTAGTTACAGAGAGGCTTCGCGGAAATGACGCGTATTCAATGTCGTCGACACTTTCCGGTTCCTTCGTGCCCCCATGGTCATCATTTTTATGGCCGATGGTTGTTTCAGGTCTTGATAAGAATAATGGATTTCTCTGATATTTACCGTACGGATCTGAGGCAAAACGTGTGTGTGTGTCTTACGTTGCTGATTTATGAATGACTTTTTTTCACGATTCACGATTGATTTATAGGATTAACGCACATTCAGCTGGACACTGTTAGCCAGTCAATTGGGGCTTACGCTCGCGGTGAGTACCTGGCTGGCTGTAGATGGTTAACGATGACACGGTTAACATGAAAACACTTCGCCCCTTGTATCCAAGACAATTAAATAACGCAATTTGAAGTTTGAATAATCTCAAATACCGAAAGCAGTAATACCTAACAAATTTTTCTATTTCGATCTTCTATTAGGCCAAGTATACGTCATTAAAAGCGACACGTCCTCCATTTTTATCTATTTGTATTTATGGGCTGAGGTTATAAGGATGAAGCATTGTTACTGTCACTTGTTTTCGTTGTTATGTTCTCATAATTCATGATTAATAGGCAAGGGGGCAGCTGTAGTCGACCCTGTTAATGTTAGAGTAGCAAGTCCCTGACTTTTATAGCAGTTTGTCGGGGGAGTGGGGCGGAGTCGCGTGGTTTCTGTGATACTATTTCAGGGTGGGGGAAGGGGGGGTAATATGTGTTCCGACCAGGAAACGGATATGTATCGGGGTGTCGAATTGGGTCGGTGATGAATTTCCAGGTTCACGGTTGATCATCGTATTATGACTTCCGTTCCTTCTTCTTATTCTTCTTATTCTTCTTATGGTCTTATTTATTTTATTACTTTTTCCCCGCTATCCGGTCTTCACTGACCATTAGGAATTCTCCCTCAAGTATGAATCGCAAAACAAACTCTACCCGCGATCAGAACATACTGTTCTCCTGGTCTACTCACGTACGTGTGGACACATTCGCGGTTTGCCGGGGTCGTGATGCCGTGTGGGATCGTTTGTGGTTACTGTGCCAACGTTTCTGAGGCACGTGCTGTCTCCAACCCCCAGCCTCGTTTCTCAGAAATATTGGGGTTTTTTACCAATCACACTCCACACGGAGTCACAAGCCAGAACGTCAACATTTTCTCCGCCGCGATGTCTTTAGATCTCAGATATGACACGGAACACGAGAAGGAACTTTGTGAATTACTCAAGGTCACTTGCTGCTATTTTTATTTAGTGTTCTGTCTGACGACAGGTCCATATGAACAGGATCCTTCCGTCCTTTTCTCGGACTGGGACCTGTTCATATACGTTCTTGGCAGATGATCCAGAAGTGGTTTGCCATTGCCTTCTTCTGTGTGTGAATGGAGTAATTGTTGGGATGCCACGGAGGAAAACTCCGTGTTGCCTAGACCACGGCCTTGCCCAACACAAGTTATAAATTCGGGCACCGCCGGGAATCGAACCCGAGACCCCAGGATTACAAGGCCAGCGTTCTAAGTGGATTATAGTGGAAATAAAAGCAGAATTTTAATGGGAAAACCGACTGGAGGGCGTGTATATATAACGATGACATTAACATGTTAATATCTTGAGGACCGGAGGTCCTCGCGTTCTGAGTGCCTGTTGTTAAAGGGGTCCTCACGTTGTGTCCGCAGGGAGAAGGGACCCAGACAGCCCCACACCTCCATAACAAAAAGAAAGAAGAGGGTCTTCTGTCTCTTTTGTTGCCTCCACGACTTGGTGGGTCCATGTGGACAGCTGTGATCATCCTTGTGGGTTGGAGATTTTTGGCCAGCAGTGGCTGGTGAGCAACACACACGGTGGAAGAGAATGGTCAACGCTGTTTCACAGTATAGCAATTCTATGGTCTTGTTTATTATGTTTGAATCAGTCATTTTTTTCTGTTTATCATAAATATGAGTTATAATAATTAAGGTTTCAATGTTATATTATAATACGTTATGTGTGATTTTTTTGTGGATTATAGTGTAGTTTATTAATTTGTTTCATTTCTTTCGTGTTTTTTTTTGTCTTGCTCCAAAGAGAAATTACCTGATAATCAAACGATGATCTCATTAAAGAATTTCTTTTTGTAATTTTTTTTTGTAGAGATTGATGTACAGGGTGATTACCACAGGGAAGTTGCGTAAATGACATGTGGACAATATTGATTGAAAACACCCTGTACCAGATGATTCGCTCAGGAATAAACAGAGGGTGATTTTATTTTGTGTCATTACAAGTGTGTTAGACAAGTAAGATTTTCAGATTTAATTTTTTAATAATAATAATAATATAACAATAATCATAATATTAATGATTCTATATTATATTTTTGTGTTTATTATTGGGAAAATATTTTTGTCCTTGTGTTTATATTTGTTAAGAAAATTGTGTTTTACACAATGAAGCAAAGCGAAGGTGTGGACATGCCTGCGCCACTATAGAGTTTTCAAATGATCTCCAATAGGTAGAGTAGTTGACCTTGTGTGACCCTGAGATGTAAGAGGTCACAAAATACCTTAAACGCTGATAACAACATTTTGCGGTTGAACCAGTGACCATCTCAATCACACAGAATTCACCGAGGTTCTTTCTGTATATAAACTTTTCCGTGCTGATATTAAAATATGCCATATTGTAAAAATATTTTGTGTGCAGAGGGCAGGTCTCAAAGTGATGTAAGGAACAACAACAAATATCATTACGTCATTTATCGGGAGTTTAGGTTTTTGCTCAAGAAGTTTGTTTCATTTGTTTGACGTAATAAAAACAATTGATAGTTCCTCAGTAAATTCCTACCAAAATAATGTAGGTATAAAAAAAAACATGAATATACAGAAACAAAGCTTTCCTGGTTTATATTACGTCAATAGTAGTGATTTTCCCTTTTAGTTTCGAATGTGTACAGACCGAAACATTTATAGTTGACTGTTACAAACACAAAAATCACTTCAGAGCAATAAAAAATACGAAATTGCTCAAGTATAGTCTGTTCAGTATTATTTCATCTTGTCAAAAAAGAATCTCTAGTTGATTGATTATATTAAAGACCAACTACCATACAATTTTTAAGTGATAAACAAAAAAATAATAATTCGCCATTTGTCAGTTGTTTAGAATTTCAGACATCACTCGTAGATCTTCTTCTCGCTGCTAATATTTACTTTGATTAGATGCTTTTTGATTTATGAATTCCTTGTTCCTTGTGTTCAAAGTTAACGTGACGTAATGCATTACAATACGAATGAAGGCCTAAAAAAATAATAAAAAAAAAAGTTCATACGCCAATAAAATCAGAACCCAAATACTGCCAAGATGATAAAATTACACCATTTTTGCATGTAAATAAGCTTTTTTAAGAATAAGGTTATATATATATAATATAAATATAAGAACATATATTTTAAGAAGATTAAATCATATAAAAGCAATGTATGTATCAAAGCCAATTACTGTGACAGGATAATGTAGGTCCCGTGGCTAATTTAGTACGTCGACACATCATGCGAATTCTGGTAACAGATTCAGGAGTTATATACAAATTCCAGGAAAATGAGGTTTTTTTGGGGGGGGGGGAGGGGCTTCGAGCTCAAAATAATTAATTCACCTTCGAATACAACGCGCAATGGAGTGTTGAAAAATTACACAGACAAGGAGTAATTCCACACATCAACTCAGACTTCACGTTCTGTCTTCTGGGATGTCACGTCACGTGGTCTTGCAGAAATTAAGCCCTGCTTAAAAGGTCAGTCGTGTCCAAGGACAGGGTTTTTTTCAACAGTCCCTTCAGACTACGCGCATGCGAATAACCAGGTTCCACTATCTTAACCTGTTTTTTATTTAGCTGACAGCTTACTCGTCTCTCTGAAGAAGCAGGCAGTAAGCAGCTTCGAAACGCCGGCCAATTTCTGCCAGAATACACGGCGGAACGTCAGAAGACAGTCGTATAGATGCGATGTGTTTCCTTTGACTCGAAGGCCGCGTTTTGATTATTACAAAAATTTAGACGAGTATCCGGAAAGAATGAGCCCGGACTCACGGGTGGTAATCGTGAAATTTGAGCAGTTCATTCATTCGGACAGCGCTGGTATGTTGTCAGGACCAATGTTGCCACGGAACCTCCGCGCATCAAAGCGTCTCTGTGATTTCTTTGCCATTAAAATTTTAAAAACGCTAATGGCAATAAATACTACCCTCTTTCCATGATCTCCGTAAAGTTAAAAGTTGTCGATGTTTCAGATTTACTAATCATAAATATTATTTCCAATCTTTAATTTCGGTTTGTGTTTTTTTTTGATTTCCTAGTCAAGTAGCCGTTTTGATTACCTTCTGTCTCTTGTGTGTTCTAGAGTAAGTTAGATCGAAGCCAGGCATAGATAAATATTGAAGGATTTGAAACTTATCTGTCCCTGGTTTCTACATGATAGTTACATGTGCTTCAAAGTGTGACTTTTCTTCCTAAGTATATCTTGCTTTCATTTCGAAACAACACGAAAGGAAAAAAAGTAACAATCATTTGTCAATTATAATTTATTGTAAACTTATGCAGTGTTATGACAATTAATCTACGATGTATCTACTTAAAACCACTTTGTATTTCTGAAAATGAGAATGTGATTTTATAAAAGTGCTGACTTATTTCTGTAGGGCCTATGTGTACCTTCCTTTTCAATTCAAATGGTACATCAGTACAAATGAATTATCATTTGTGAATTCATTTAAATTACAAGTATAATCTGTGACAATATTTTTGACTATTTAGTATTTGGAATAGCATGTCAATACTGATATTTTGTGAATTTTGATATTTTTGAATTCTGCCAGTATAACATTAGTTTCCCCTGTTGCTCAAAATATTTTGTCAAGACTCTTATAATTGAAAATGTTCACCCTGGCAAGCAGTCATTACTTAAAGTTGAAGTGTACTAACATATGCTATTTAATGAAATCATAGGATACTTTAAGGAATCAGCATGGATACTTCCTCATCTCTTTCAGATATACGTTCAATCTCTGATGATAAGTAATATTTTCCCTCACCCAATTTTGAACATTCGTCAGAAACCAATACGAATGCAGAAGGACGCTCTCAGACGTGTTTATAAATTTCTTCTCCTTTGCACTAATGCAGAAGGACGCTCTCAGACGTGTGTTTATAAATTTCTTCTCCTTTGCACACCACAGAACGGTTTCTGTCAGGTGTTAACTTATTCAAGGTGCATTATGGCGAACTTTAAAAACGTAACATCCCATTACACTTTACACAACGTTCATTTTATATTATTTTTACTCAATCGTAAAAGTTTCTTGTACACCATTTTCCTTTCTGAGTCTAGAAACTGGTTACTCTATTCGGACAATAACTTAATCTCAGACAATAATAACATCAGAATTTAATTCGGCGTTTAAATAGAGACAGTTCACTCCATTTTAGCATTCGAGCTCTGCCCTATTCGCCTATTACCCCCCCCCTCCCATACTAATTCCATATAAATATAAACCTAACCTTTCAGTGAAGATTTTTCGGGAATTGAACAGACTGTGATAAAATATTAAATTTGTTCAACTCCACAGCTGGAACATGGCATTATTTCCCCGAAATAAATCCCCCGGGGGGGGGGGAAGACACGCTATGAATTTTCATAAGACTGTAACATATTCGATAGTTTAAACACAACCTCTGTGTAATTTGTGAAAATCGAAGTGCCATAACGTGTTGAGAGCGCGGTAAAAGTTTACAGTAGAAGGAATCAAAATTTCCAACTGTACAAAGTATCCATGCCTTGTCCTTACGTTAGGTTACTGCAATGACCAGAATACAATACTAACACGTCATTGACATCTTCTTAAAACGATTTGTGTACAGTGACTAATAAAATATTTCCTTCTGTTTGATTTCCTTTCAATATTGCACGTCTAAGTTAATTTTGTTTAAAATTAAGAGATCAATTATTTTTTTTTTTGTATTTTCGTTTCTCAATTTTAAGTCTTGTAACATGGAAAGGGTGGAATCAAAACATTTAAATGTAAAAAAAAAAATATTTCACCCTCTCTGTGTCATGCTGTTACTACCGACAGTCTTTCATATTTGTACAGATTTTTCACTTTTATATATAGTTACTTTTTTCAAATAAATGTAAATATTGAAGCAAATTAAAGAACTGTGTATCGATACATCGACATTCTTCAGCCCTCACAACGCAACCTCATCCTGCGATCTGCCCTACTTATTAATTATCATGGCATTACGACAAACAACGAAGCCCACTGACAAATGAATGTGCAGGAGACTAGCCATCCGCACACGACACCTCCTAAAGTCCTGAACTGATTTCGACCAAATGTGGTACCGATTATTAATTACAAAAAAAATTATCGGGTGAATTCAATTCTTATTTACTTGGGTACGATTAAAAACCCTGTTTAAACAAGAATCTGGATTATTTCTAAAACACGGCTCATCCTGCAAAAGAGAAAATTACGTGACACGAAACACTGAGCATTTTGAATGTTTAATGGTTAAAAATTATTTTTTTTAATTTAATCTTCCATGGGTTTGGTGGGGTGTCAAAATCGAACATGCTGCAAAATGTTACACTGGGCTTAGGGCCTCTCGGACCGGAAAGAAGATTTTGTAAACACGGTAAGGAACCTTTGGGCTACATAAAAGTCGGAGAATTTCTTGACTAGATTAGTGACTTACCCTCTTATCAAGAAGAACTCAGTCCCATGGAGTTACTTAGTAAGTTATTCAGTCAATACGAGACAGCGACTACATTCCATCCAGTTTACTGCGCTCATAACGTTAGCAGTTGATATGAACTTGTTAGATACTCCATAGAAACCCACCAAATGCGACTACACGACAGAAATTGTTGGGAGTTTAATGCTTGACAGTTGAACAACCTGTCCTCCCACAGCCTGCTCCTTGAAACGGTTCTCAAACCGCATCCTGAAAACGAATTGAAAGGTCTCGCAATTTCCTTGACACGTGTCGTCTGGATGCGACCTGCTCCTTCATCTTTACGAAACAGGACAAGTGTGGTTAGCTTTGTGGCCGCCATTGCTTCCGGTTGAATCATTTCATTATGAATGTCATGTAACGAACGCCCGATAATGTGTAAAATTGTATATTTCATCTCCATAATCCATCGACGTCCTTGATCACATTCGACAAAACTCATCACACATTTGGCACTGGATTAAACTACTACATTTTAGACATTTAACTGACCAGCAAAACGCAGGTCCATGAACTCTTTTCCTCTCTTCCATCCTCCATCCCTTCATTCTCACTTCCTTCTTTCACCCTTTATTCGGTCTTCTGGGTTGTGGACGCCGTGTGAACTTCCATGTGGTGAGCGACCACTACCACTATCAGCTTCTTCACAGCAATGACAATCTTAAGTATTCTTCCTTTATTTCTATTCATCCATGTTCCTCAATGTCTCGGCCAATCAGAACGGCGCCATTTCCTCCCTCCTCTTCCCCCTGTCACCCGCTACGACCCACAAACAACATTTCAGAAACCCAACTTTTTGTACAGACTGTAGCAATCCTAGAACGCATGAAATAAAGCTGCCTGCTTTTTTTTTTGTCCTCTCCCTGTCTCGCTACACCCCTTCTGACAATGAAGTGGGTGGGAAGGGGTGATTGGTTTAAAATTTTAATCTCAGTTTGTCACTCGATACCAAGCTGTGGTTCTCTGGAGCAGAAGCGGGCGAGGGGGGGGAAAGCGCTGACTGACAATGGATGTATCTATGGTAATAGTTTGATGAAACATCGGGTTTTGGAGAGGAGAGGGAGCGATATTGTTCTACACTTGTTGTAGCAGGTCACGGATCCATCTGAGCAACAGTTAAAACACACAGAGGGACGAACGGCATTGCATGCAGTCCGGAGGGGCCTCTGAACAAAACGATCAGACACTCCGAACGGACGTAACAGAAGAACGCAACGCGGGACTTCACAGGTTTCTTCCCGAAAACGAGCATAAATAGTCACCCTTACATCAACACCCGACATTTCAACACCACTAACGCAAAAGCCCGCGATTGGACACCATCCTGAGCCAGTTCAATCCACCATAAACCCTCCTGCAGTTACTTTCTGTCTCGTTCTCTACCTTTGAAGAGGCTATTTTTAAAACAGGTTTCTCCACCATAATTCTGTGTGTATCTCTTATTTCCCCATCCCTGCTACATGCTCAGCTCATCGTGGCTTCCCGTGGTTAAGTTTTCCGATAAAATAAGGTGACGTGTATAAGTCCTCGTTAAGTAAAAGTTAAAGTGCTCACTTCCACCGATGACAAACATACTAATAATTTCCTCAAACAAATCAAATCCCGAAACCCTCCTTTCCACGTAGGAATTTAGGTGGATTCCATCACTGTCACCCTTATAAGGGAGGGTGACGCTAAGGGGTTGAAACACGAATCAACATGCAAATGGCTCCAACTCATCAGCTTGCCACTTGAATCGCTGCGTATCTCTCCCGTCTTTTGTTTCGTCCCTAGTACTGTTAGGTCCATTAACACTAGCGCCACCCTACACAAAGCTGACCATTAGCGGCGGGCAAACAGTGAACTACTCTCGTGTTCAAAGCTGGAATCATTAAGTTTCCCATTTATCGTGTGGTGGACTATAGTTAACACATTTTTCTGTGAGTCGCGCATAATAGAGCCGTAGGACAGTGTTTGACTTGCAAATAGAGTGGCGGTACAGTCATCTCAACTTAAACTTGTAACTGTCGCCATTTCATTTGACGCATTACGCTCAATCTACCGTTTTAAAAACGTTGGTTACACTCGTGTCTCCAACAATTACTTTCCAAAATTACATCGCCTTATTAACGATTTTCCACAAACGAAAATTCGAAGCCTCCAGCCCTGACGATGGCGGCAATATTTTCCTCCGAAACGTTGATATCGACCTACAAGACCACATGACGAGGGCCAACATTTTCATTTCCATTGTCGTGAGGACCTCTCAGACCTCACAGATCATCCCAAAAAACGTGTTCCTGGGGCAACATTTCCAGCATCTTTGACGTGGATTTCAGGGCGATGCTCCTGTGATGTCACACCCCCTTCTTGCCTCAAATTTCATCATCACATCCTTGAAAAACAAATATTCCACTTTAAAATCTGTCCTTTCTTCGGCGCACATATGGAAGCATGTCGCTCTAAGAAAAAAAACATGACCTCGAATAAGTCGGAAACGTGAGTTCATAGCAGTCCTAATAACTATTCCAAAAACACTCCTCAGAACACTTAATTTGCAGACTATTTATTAATTTTAATTTCACTCAGTTCGCTTTTCACAGTTTGTTTTCTGTTGCAGTGCAAATTATGCTGAAAAAAATGGCTGTCTTCTGGGTTACAGAGCCGTGTGGCTACAACCCAGAAGACAGAAACCTTCATACTCACCGCCGTGAGAACCTTAAATCTTTCCAAGTTATAATGCCTTAAGTAAGGCACCAGAAGTTTTCGATACAGAGAGTACAATTACTCGTGAGTGCCTGCCAATGTCAAAACTTATAGCTATATGCCTATAACAGGTCTTGGCGTCTAAGTATCACACACAAGGAGATTATCGGAATGACAGAATGAAAAGAAAGTCTGCTCACCACGCAACAGACCAAAGGGCGTTTCTCTGTTAACCGAGGCCACGCTCCTGTCTCGGTATGCAACATGTGGGTCGTCGTTCCCTGGGTACACAATGACAACTAATTTAAATGTCTACGCAGATCTTTTTACGTAAAACGTACTCTGGGTTCAATTTCACCTGCCGGGGACTGTACGTACGTGCTTGCGCCTGAATCTAACGTTGTTCGTACGACAATTGTCTCCATCTGCGATGATGACACTTGCATGCAGCAGGCCTAAACCTCGATGCAGCTGCAGAGAGGAGGCCTAGGTCTCTGCGTGTTGTGGGAGTGCAGACTATCTTTGTTTGTCTGCGGAGAACGGGCTTACGTCACGAATCTGCGGAGTTCTGTGTCACTACTGACGGAAACAGTGAAAATGACGGACCGGTAATCAAAATGAGACAGACAAATGGAAGAGAGAGAGAAGGACAGAAAAGAACAGAAAAGCATGAACTAAACCAGGAAAGAAAGGAAGGGAGG